GTTAATAAATGTAATATTCATTTGCTGCTCTTCAGAACTAAGATCAGTCAATCAATAAGCATTTATTAAGCACCTGCTGTGTGCCAGGCACTGTACTAAGTCCTAGAGATACAAAGACAAAACAAACAGTGCCTGTCCCCAAGGAGCTTTCATTCTAATGAATAACAGAGAGGAAGCTGCTCCTATTATATGAATCAGCTGAACTACTCTGTGTTTATCACTTGTCAATAAGAACTCATGTTCTTATTTTTGGATACTTCTATGAATTTGTACTTTTTAATGAATGTAGGTATTCCCTCTAATGATACAGATACTAAGCCATCTCTAACTATCAAATCTGGGTAAATCTTGTAAATCTTCCTGTAAATATAACATGAGAGGTCGACCCAGTGTGCTGAGGGCCTTCTTGACTGTCTTTTGATGTTAGATAGATACTCATGGAGCACATGCATTGTCCATCAATGACTTCTCACTCTTGCTGCAGCAAGAGGATGATCACTGTCCTTTGGGTGACTCTAGATTCATGCCTTTTAAAGACACTTTTATTTTTTAGCAGTAGCCTTGACTTCTCTTAACTCCCACACATAGAGAAATTATCAGTTTTTCTCCTCAAAGGCTCCAAATTTGGAATATTTTACCTTTAAGTTTTGTCCTAGATATTGGGAGATCACTTTTTAAGTGCTTCCTGGCTATTGGTGAGGGAAATTCTTCCTTTCCTCAGGTTCATTTGGATTTTATTGAGTGCCCCTAGTCCTTAGACTTTTCACAGAGAATCAGGGCACCTTTTTCTTCTATGTTTTCAATTCAATGGTGGCCTCACCAAGATGAAAACACTTGTTTTTTGCATGGCAGGGTGAAGCCTTGGCTGGTTTGGAAGTGTTACTATTTTCACCTGGGTAGTTGGTACATAGTTTTAACTTTTATAGAGTGGGTGGAATCATGACCCAAGTGAGTATAAAAGCCCAGTGGTACCACAGCTTATAAAGAGGATATGATTCTGAGCTCTCAGCATTTGTGCTCCAAGGGGGTTTCATGTCATAGTGTTTAGGGCTGTGAGATAGTTATTAGGTCTAGTCTTCATGACCCAAATACAGAAGCAGAGAACTGGGAAGGCACTTTTATCCTAGGTATGCTTAACAACATTTTCCTCTGCAACATTCTCAACAAGTGCTCGCCCAAGTCTCTCTCTGAAGACTTCCAGGGATAAGGGTCCCACTGCCTCTTGAGGTGCCCCATCCTATTTTAAAATGCCTCTAGTTACTAGGCAGTTTTTCCTTATAATCAATCTGAAATCTAACTCTCTGTATATTCACCCTATTTCTCTCAGTTTTTCCCTCCAGGGACAAACAAAACAAACCCAGCCTCACTTCCACATGGAGGATGGTGGGACAGATCACAAAAATGATCCAATCCAAATCATACTGGACTGAGAAATCTCTCTATAATATCCAAGTCTCTGCTTGAAGACCTCCATGGAGGGAGAGCCCACTATCCCCCAGAGTCAGTGTCTTCTACTTTGGACAGCTCTAATTGTAAGGAAGTTTTTCCTGATACCAAGTATGAATTTATCTTACTGCAGTGTTCACATATTGCTTCTGGTCCTAGCCTCTGAGGCCAAACACAACAATGACAATGATGACTGATGATGATGATGATCATGATGATGATGATGACAAATAATACATATTATTTTAAGGTTTTTAAAATATTTTATTGTGCGGGGCAGCTAAGGGGTGCAGCTGATAGTGCTCTGGCCTTGGAGTCAGGAGGACCTGAGTTCAAATCTGGTCTGAGACATACAATACACAATACTTATTAGCTGTGTGACCCTGGGCAAGTCATTTAACCCCAATAACCTAGCAAAAAGCAAAAAAAAGAGTTTCATTGTGCATATTATCTCATTTCTTCCTCTCTGCTATCAGTGTTAGGTACTATTATCACTTCCATTTTATAGATAAGGAAGTGTGACTTGCCCAGGGTCACATAAATAGTAAGTGTATGAGACAAAAATGAAACATATGTTTTTTTTTTCCCAATACCAGTGCTTTATTCAATCTTTCCTCCATTAAATTACTCTTCAGGTACTTAAACATAACTATCATGTACCTCCTGAATCTTCTCTTCTCTAGATTAGGCATTCACAGTTCCTTTAACTGAAACTTATATGGCATGACCTCAAAATTCATTGTTATATCTAATTGTAATGTACCATGTTGTATGAAGGATTTTTAAGGATTTGATTATTAGGAGAAATGTCATTGTTTCCATTATCCATGGTACCAGAAATATCCAAATTTATGGACTTAATGGATTTAACAAGTTAAATTTTTCTTGTTCTTTTGTAAATAAGGTAGAAATTAAATGAGTCATTTTCTTAATGCCAAAGAACATGAATAAAATGTTTATAATTTGAAGGAGATATGGTACATTTTCTACCACAGTGAAACTTTTTTTGGGGGACCAACTATCAGATGTAGACTGTATGAGGGAGTAGTACCATGAGAGAGTTCTCTTGATATTAAACCTTTAGAAGGGAGCTGCCATGTGCTTGACTTAAAGGAGGACGCTATTCTATCATATTGGATTGGAAGGTCTTTTCATGTAAGGGATTTACTATATTTTGTAAACAAGGTGGCTTTCATGTTCAGTGGAAGCTAGCAATTTCAAGGGCTGATGGTAGTTTCATTGGATGCTCCTGAAAGGGAGACAAGGTGGGGTGAAGGAAGGTAGGAAATCAGTCTATCCTCCCTCTTATTCTTCTCCACCTAGGATCTGGAAATGAGATGTTGGGGCAAAAGCAAGGAGGAGTCACATTTTTTTTTAACATGTCTTGAGAGGAGAGATCCTGAGAGCAAATTTTCCTAGCTCAACAGATATTGGTAGTTGAGACCAATGAGAGATTTCCTTTAGAAACTATTAGAAGGAACAGGTATGTGCCTGTCCACTTAGCTTGAGAAGGAAGTCTTAGTTTTGGGGGTAGCCTCAAGTGTAACCCCAAGTTGAGGAGTTTCCAAATTCAAGAGTTTGGTGACCATATCTTTTTGAGGAAGGAAAGAATTTCCTGATTCAGTGTAATTTGGAGAAAGAAGAGAATTGCCCACCTAGTTCCCGAGCATCATCCAATGAAGAGAACAAAGCTAGAAAGTTATTTGGATGGTGAAGGTTAGGATTGAAGGGGGTTGCTCAATTGGCAAGATATTTTTGCCTTGAGGTGGGGATAGGAATCCAAACCAGACAGGGACATTACTGGTCTAGGAGGAATTGGTTGGGCTAGGGATTCACCAGAATATCACAGGGGCCACTGGGGCAACCTTAGCTTCAGTTCCCTTCTGTAAGGAGCTAATGGGCATTTTGAATATTTGGGGTTTCTGTAGACATTTGTGAGTTCCTATGAATCCTGTGCAAGTTTTGTGTTTTTTCTTTGGTGAAATAATGGCTGCTCTACCCGTATGTATTGGTCCCTTTTACTCACATTTGGAAAACCTAGGCAGAAGCCAAATATAAGCTAGATTTAGTGATTTTCCTCAAGTAACTCTAGGTCAGGGAAAGGAGTCAAAGTAGCAAATGATTCTCTTGATATTAACTGCCAGGATTGGATCTAGTTCATCTGAGCCCAAAGCATTGTGGAGATTTGTGTCATGCTTTCATCTTCAGGTGTATTTGGGGTATAAAGTGTTGAATTTTAATGAGTCCCATGTGCCTAATTATTTTTGGAAGCCCAATATGTCTTTGCAGTTTTACTTCATGTACTTAATTCTTCTTATTATTCATTAGATCTAGACTGTTCACTCTAGAACCTGAGTCTGGACAGTTTACCCAGTATTCATATGGATTCTACATCCACGGGATGGGGATTGTTTGATGGCTTACAAACCCTGAGTGCTTACTTCTTTTTTTTTTTTTGAGAAGGGAAGTTTGGTTGATTTTTTTCTCCAGATGGTAGGGGGTTGATTTCCCCATCAACCCCAACTCATTTGGGTTTTCAATTTTGGATTGCTAGTAGTAGTAGTAGTAGTAGTAGTGGTAGTAGTAGTAGTAGTATTAGTATTAGTAGTAGTTGTAGTAGCAGCACTAGCAGCAGTAATATTAGTAACAATAACAGTTAATAATATTAGTAATGATAATAGCTAATTTTTATAGCCCTTTACTATTTTGCAAAGTGCTCTACCTTTATTATCCCTATTTTATGGATGGGGAAGTGGAATCAGACAGAGGTTGTGACTTTTCCAGCTAATTAAGTATCCGAGTCCAAAGCAGATCTCAGAGCTTCCTGTCTCCAAACTCAACACTTTATCCACTATGTCACCTAGCTGTTTCAGGAATCTTTTGGGGAAGCTGATTTCCACCTGAGGGTGAGTGCTTGACTCCTCTGATCAACTCTCCTTAAACGTGTGATTGATTTAAAAATACTTACAAATTTTTATTGATGCATTTTTTTTGTTGTATCACAGTCATTTTTGGATATATTCCCTCAGTTACTCTCACTCATACCTGTGAACCTTCCCTTGCAACAAAGCAAAGAAAAAACCATTTATTTAAAAATGATGCAACAATCACATCTGACCACATACATAACACTTCATACCCACAGGCTCCCATGATCCAGTGAAAGGAAGGATTTGTGTTTCTTCATCCACTTTCTGGGGCCAAGATTGTTTATTCCAATGATAGAATGCTCAGCTTTAGTTTACTATTCTTTTCGCTCTCATTGTCACAGTCGCTGTGTGTATTCATTTCCTAGTTCACTTAGTTTTCCCCTGTGTTGGTTTATATGTTTTTTCTTGTTTCTCTGAACACCTCATATTCTTCATTTCTTATGACACAATGATTTCCCATTACTTTCCTGTGCCACAAGTTATAAAGCCATTCCCCAATCTATGGGGACCCATTTTGTTTCCAGTTCTTTATCGACATGGAGAGTACCAGCATGAATATTTGGATATGAATAGGCCATGTTTCTCTTTAACTGATTTTTTTTTTTGGGTGGGTCTGTTTTTCAGGTGAAGCTCTGAAGATATCAGCTGAAACATTTACAGATGATCCCTGTTTTTTGCCAAAGAGGGAGGCCGTGGTTCAGGCTGCCCGTGCCTTGTTGGCTGCTGTCACCAGGCTGCTCATCTTAGCTGACATGGTTGACGTCATGTGCCTCCTGCAACACGTGTCTGCTGTAAGTAGAACCTGGATGAGTGCAAGGCTGCCTTTCTCTCACTTCTTGGGTTGGCATACAGATGGTGTTCCCTGCTCTATAGTATTCTGCTACTCAATAGGAAACTTGCAGGTCCCTTCTCAGCTAGTGCATCCCTCTTAGTTTGCAAATGTCCTTAGTGACTGACTCTATTGTTCCGTGGACATTCAAGTCAACCCAACAGTCAATTTATCAAACTTCTATGAGGTAGCCCCTATGCTAGGCTCTGGGGATGAAAAAAAAGAAGATGAAATTCTTACCCTTGAGGAGTTTACAGTTTACTTGGAAGGAGCATACAAAGTGGCATTTAACATTGGCATATGCAACATGTACACCAGTAAATAATACAAAATGCAGAAGTATATTCAAGACAATGTGAAGGAATTGCAAGGAGGAGGAATTGCTATAACTGGGATAGTGGCTAGACTAGGAAAGGCCCTATGTAAGTGACAACATCTGAGTGATGCTTTTTAGGAAGCTACGGGATTTCCCAGACTGAAGTAAGGGAGTGCAGTCCAGGAATGGGGGAAAGGGGTGGCATTCACTCAAAAGCATGGAGATGGTAGACGGAATGCTATGAATGGAGAAAGCATTTAAACAGGAGTCAGTCAAAGATCCAACAGAAAACTGAAAAAAGTCCATGGTTGGTTGATTTTTTTTTTTTTGGCTAGGCAATGGGGTTAAGTGACTTGCCCAGGGTCACACAGCTAGTAAGTGCTATGCGTCTGAGGCCGGATTTGAACTCAGGTACTCCTGACTTCAGGGCCAGTGCTCTATCCACTGAGCCACCTAGCTGCCCCGTGGTTGGTTGATTAAAAATAGCTGGGAGAAGGTTCGTCATTGTGTGTGTGTGTGTGTGTGTGTGTGTGTGTATGTACATGTGTAAACATTACATTATGTTCCTCCTCCAGTGCCTCATCCTAACATCAAGGTGCCCCATTGGTTCCAAGGTGGTGGCAGTGGGACATGAACCTTGTCAGGATTTCCAAAGCTATAAAGGCCTTGAGGAAAAATCTGGTGATGGATTATGATGTGGACTTTTATGAGAGTCACCTGAGGAACAACCCAGTTAAATTTGGAGAAACTCATGATTGGGCTGGCCAAGGGAGAATGATTTTTTTCCATCACAATGACAAGTCTCAAAGATCTGTCTACTAAGCTAGAGAAGGGGCTGGCTCTTCATTGGTGGAGAGCCCTCCCACACCGATGAAATCACAGTTCCTTGAAGTGTAATTAAACCCTCCATGGATAATACTTCTTGTGACTATAACAGATGGTGTGTATCCTCTTCCCTTCATTCTTTCCTCCAAACCACTCCTACACCCCAAACCTTGACAAATGATTTTTGAAAGAGGACTTCAGGACAAGTCGGGGGGATTGCCTTGCTTTAAAAGTTCCAATAATATTAAATTCTCTAGAACAATCATCCCTAGAAAATGTGAACTATTCATTTCAGTTTTGCTGTTTGTCCCTGTAATTCAATAAACTTTCTCTATAAGTACTTGGATGCTATACTATTTGGTGCACATATATTAAGTATCGATGTTATTTCATGGCCTTGAAGCAAATTGTCGTTTGATTTATCTACTTTAGCCATGTCAGTTTTTTGTGGTGGTTGTTGCCTTGTCTGAAATCATGAGTACTTTCCGTGTTTTTTCAAGTTGACCTGAAGCATAATGCATTCTGCTCTTGGCCTCCATTTTATCTCTGTGTGAGTATTTATGTTTCCAGTGTGTTTTCGTAAACAACAGATTGTGGGGAGTCTCCCTTCTGATCCATTCTGTAGTCCTCTATTGTTTTGCTGCTAAATTCATCCTTTTTGTGTTCACAGTTAGGGCTCAAGATTGGACCTATGATTTTAATGTTATAGGGAATTCCTAGGTAAGGGAACTCCCTTTACTAAAGCAAAGTGACACCTTCTCTGTGCCCGTAGTATTTTAGAACTTCCGAGAGCATGAGAGGTTAAATCGCTTGGCCAAGGTCATGCAGCCAGGAAGTGACATAATTGACTTGAGCCTAGTGGCCAGCTCTCTAAGTGCTATGTGGACCCTCAGCAGTATATCCATGGTCATGATTGTAATTGTGTCTTTTTCTCCATTTTCTCCTCTTAAATTTTTTCCTTTCTTTGTTCCTTGCCTTTCTCTTTACAAAGAAGAAGGTGATGAAAGAGAAAGAAAGTGGCCAGCACGAGTGATTTGAAATGAGAACAATCTGCTTCCCCTCCACTGTCCATCCTTACCTTGACTCTGATCATTGGTTCTTCTATTTTCTCTTTCCTTTTTAATCTGCTTTTATGATCTGTCCTTTGAAGGTGAAGTTTGTTTTGCTTGTGATTATTTCCTCTGTGTCTCTACCCTCCCTCTTAAACTCCTTCCTGTTTTCCTTTCCCAGTAGATTTCCCTGTTGTTACGTGAATTAATACACCTCTCTGTGTGTTTATGTGTTCAACCTACTTTTCTATGGTTTAGATAAGAGTGAGGTTCAGCTGATGCCTGCTCGACCTAGCCTTCCTTCTACCAGGTGACTGGTATAGTCTTCTAATTTTCACTTTGCTTTGTAGTTCTCATAAATTTTGATGCTTATAATTTGTGATTTCTTGAAAAATGGTAACTAGTTTTGTTTTTCTGAAAATTTAAGAATTCTTAAACTATTTCTTCTTGAATTCTCTTCCAGGTCATTTATTTTTGATGGTAAATGCCTTACATTATCTTCTATTTTCTAAACTTTTGATTTTATTCTAATATTTCTTGTTGTGCCGTGGAATCATTGAATTTTATGTGGTCCCTTTTAATTTTTAGGTAGGCCATTACTTGGGCAAAGCTGTGGCCTAAACTACTTATTCTCCTTCCGATTCTTTCCTTTGGAACTTTCAATTTCATTTGCTACTCTATTTGTTATTTCTTTCTTCATTGAGATCATATTTCTCTTTTATTTCCTCTTCATTTCTTGGGGCCAATCCATTTTTTTTCCTCTGAGGATCTGCTGGTAGTTGGTGTGGAGTTATTCTCTTCTGGGTTTTACTTCAGAAACCTACAATATTTCTTCTTGTGTAAGTGGCAACATCTGAACAATGCTTTTTAGGATGCCAGGAATTTATCCAGACTGAAGTATAGAAGGAGTACAGTCCACACATGGGGGAGGGGTGGCATTTGCTCAAAAGCATGGAGATGGTATATGGAATGTCATGGACAGGGAGAGTGTTTAAACAGGAGGCAGTCAAAGATTCAATAGAAAACTGAAAAAGGTTGATGGTTGGTTGATTAAAAATAGCTGGGAGAAGGTTCTACATTGTGTGTGTGTGTGTGTGTGTGTGTGTGTGTGTGTGTGTATACATGTATACACATTACACTATGATCCTCCTCTAGTGCCTCATCCTAACATCAAGGTGACCCATTGGTCTTGAAGGTGGTGTCAGTGGGACATGAATCTCGTCAGGTTCTTGCCACTTACACAATAATATTGATCTATAATATTTCTTCATAATGTTGGATATCTTGTTCTGTTCAGTACTATCCTTAGCATTAGTTCATGATTTGAGACTTTGTGCCAGAGCTAGGCACCACTTCCTTCCATGTTTTAGAATGGAGTGATCTGGCCCTGTTTGATCCTGACATCACTATCTTGAGGGTGGTTTGTCCCTGTTTGCTCCAGACCTCAATCACCTGGGTTCCTGCTTCTGGCTTCTACCTCCTTTTCTGTGTCTGCACTCAGTGTGTTGGCAGACTTCAGTATCCTTGGTCAGAATTCTGTGGTCCTCTGTTCCCTCTCAGGCATTCCTGGTCAGGACATTGCTTCAGGTTTCTGCTTTGTTCACCTGAGCTCACGCAAGCTTCCCTAATAGGGCCTCTGTGCCAGTGTTCACAGCTTCGTGTTGTTTTTTTTTTCCTCTATTGCTAGCCTGCATGAAGGCCCTTACTAATGTTTTTCTTTGGATTTTTTGATTTCAATTTGATCTGATACCCTTTTTAGATCATTGTTGGACAATGTGTGAGAGAGATAGGCTTTCTCTGTGACCTTTCATGTCACTAGCATAAACAGAAATCTGTAGTTATTGCATTTAAAAAAGTATTATTGCTTCTTTAAGAAATCATTATGATTTTCAATAATCCTCTGCCACAGTAGAACCTTTCCTTATAATAAAGAAGTGCTGTTAAGCAAAACAAATGGATGCACTATGTCTGACAGTGTATACCACACAGCACATGTAGTCCACTGCTTTTTTACTAAAAGAAGGGACCATAGGCTATCAAACATAGTCAGGGTGTTAGTTTGTTTTGCTTATAGTACTTTAAAATTGTCTGCTTTAAGCTGTAGGCATATCTCTTTCTTCTTTTTGTCTTACATGCAACTAAAAACTATTTTTCTTGTTGTCTTTAGCATTTTGGGGGAAGCCTTAGTTTATTCTAAGCCTTGGGCTTCCCCACACCATGTTTAGGTTCGTGCTACTGGATTAAATTTGCATTGCATTATGTACCTCTCCTCCCATATTGGAGATTGATTTTGGTATAGTGACCTGAGAGTTGGCTTTGGAGCCTGGAAGACCTGGGATCAAATCCTGCCTGTAGCACGTACTAGCAGTGTGACCCTGGGCAAGTCACTTTATCTCTTAGTGCTCTGGGCAACTAAGATTGTACATTGCAGAGAAGGCATTGGAAGAGAGAATTTCCTCATCTTGCAGTTCCATATATCAATGAAATCGTAGATCCAGATCCTATCTCTACCTTCAATGCATTTAAAAAAAACTAATCACAATAAATAATAATAATAATAATAGTAGTAGTAGCAGCTAGTATTTACATAACTGGGCAGCTAGGTGGTGCAGGGGATAGAGTGTGAGCCTGGAGTCAGAAAAACTCATCTTCCTGAGTTTAAATTGGCCTCAGAACGTGAGTAGTGTGACCCTGGGTGAGTTACCTAAGTCTGTTTGCTTGTTTCTTTATCTGTAAAATGAGCTGGAGAAAGAAGTGGCAAACCACTCCAGT